AGCCTACAAATACCCTAGGCCCGTGAATCTTTACCTATTTTTTCACCCCAAGAATCTTAGGAAAGTTTGAAGAGAAGAAAAAGAGGACGAATGGGCTAATTCTTGAAGAATTAATGTGGGGTAATTGCAACGAAGCACATTAGGATCCAGATTCAAGAATCAAGGTAGGGGATTCTTCTCAAGTTCTTTCATTGAGGCTTAGGGTATAATTATGTATTTTTTTAATCTTATTGATAATTATATGATAGAAATATATGAATTCTTGGTTTCTTTATCATTGGAACATAGTCTTGAAAAAAAATATATGTTTGGGTTCAAGAAATATTTGTTCTTGAATTTCCAAAACCCTAGTTTTCAAGAAATACAGATTTTAATCTTGATATTCCATTGTTCTTGATTTAAAATCTCTAGTATTTTATTTAAACAATAAAATTATATTTCTTGATGATCTCTTGCATATTTTCTTGAATTGTTCCGTTGAAAAAAATACCTGTGGAATTGTGGATCTTGGTTTACCTGTGATTTGGTGAATTGATTTGGTATTGTATCTCTTGTGTGGATGTTTTGATGAACATGGGTGACTGTTGACTGGGTATCGTAGAGTGGGTAGATGTGTTTCTTACTCCAAGTGAGTTTGANTAGAATGTCGAAAAACAATGGAAGAGGTTATATGAGTTGTATTAGAAGTTTAGAAGTATTCTAAAGTTAAAACCTATTTTGGATAGGATTAGGGAAAAAGGAATTTGACATAACTTTTCTATTTTAGCTATAACTTTTTATCCTGACATCTGATTGATCTGAAAATTTCGTGAATCGACTTCTAACTAGGTCAAAATCGAGTTCAAAGTCAAGGTTTTTTCCGGTAAAACGAAACTTTGATTGTTCAGATTTCCCCGTTAGTAAAGAAAAATGGATTGCAACAAAAACTACGGGGAAGATTGTTACCCGCGCCCACACGGGAATTCTCTATTTTTCAGCCTACAAATACCCTAGGCCCGTGAATCTTTACCTATTTTTTCACCCCAAGAATCTTAGGAAAGTTTGAAGAGAAGAAAAAGAGGACGAATGGGCTAATTCTTGAAGAATTAATGTGGGGTAATTGCAACGAAGCACATTAGGATCCAGATTCAAGAATCAAGGTAGGGGATTCTTCTCAAGTTCTTTCATTGAGGCTTAGGGTATAATTATGTATTTTTTTAATCTTATTGATAATTATATGATAGAAATATATGAATTCTTGGTTTCTTTATCATTGGAACATAGTCTTGAAAAAAAATATATGTTTGGGTTCAAGAAATATTTGTTCTTGAATTTCCAAAACCCTAGTTTTCAAGAAATACAGATTTTAATCTTGATATTCCATTGTTCTTGATTTAAAATCTCTAGTATTTTATTTAAACAATAAAATTATATTTCTTGATGATCTCTTGCATATTTTCTTGAATTGTTCCGTTGAAAAAAATACCTGTGGAATTGTGGATCTTGGTTTACCTGTGATTTGGTGAATTGATTTGGTATTGTATCTCTTGTGTGGATGTTTTGATGAACATGGGTGACTGTTGACTGGGTATCGTAGAGTGGGTAGATGTGTTTCTTACTCCAAGTGAGTTTGAAGGTTCCCAACCACTCGTAGTGGGGTTGGTGCCTTGCGAGGACCAAACCACTATTCGCTCACAAGTATCGAGACTGAGGGCTAGTATACTATTCTTGAGTTGGATTCGTCACTGTCGATACGTCGGTATACGCCCTTCCTAAAGTTGTGTATCCTTAAGAGGATTGGGTGTGTGTGGGCCAAGATATTCTCAATGTGTGTATTCATGCTAAGTCTTACTACGTACCTGAGATACAATATTGGTAATGGGAAGATTAGATAGATGAAAACGAGGTAATGTTGGTTTTACTTCTTTATTTAATTTAACAAAAATGTAGAAGAAAGAAAATCTACTTGGAAAATAGGCTGGAAAGCTGGCTAGAAGTGGTTCGGCAGGGCCTCGCAATATTGTTTCTCTCTTTCTCTCACTCTCTGACTGTTTCTAACTTTCTGAATTGACCCTGACCTTCCCGACTTCCTTCCACCCTCTCTGGTTGTCTCTTTAACAGAATCACCATAACTCCCCAATAACGACGCCATAAATCTTGTTCAACTATTGGCCTGAATAGTGTTGTGCATCCAAGTATAAGTGGTCAAAATTGTATTATAATACTCAGTCAAAGAGATGGATTACATGAGATTATTAGGATTTAAAGTAAAAGAAATCATGGAGATAACGGTACTTGGTATCATAGGTACTGGTAGTTAAGCCTACTGAAATTTTGGTACCGACATCTACACCATTTGGTATCGGTACCTCAGTACTAGCCATTTGTTTCCATAATCCACTTCGAATCTGAAAAAGTGCAAAAACATGAAAGTTGTAGATATAGATGTCCTCTATCTTGTGTCAAAATTTTATCTCAATCGGACTGTAGGATCAAAAGTTATGATAAATTTATGAAAAGGCCCACCCGTAGAAGACATGCAAGACCTATCGATAGAAGACATTCAAAACCTATCGGTAGGTTTTTGAAGTTCTACTAGTAGAACTTGCCCAGAAATCCTAGACACTTCCCCACATGACTCTACCTACTCCGGGGGCCCACCTTTTTACCTCCAAACCATAACCTGACATATTTGACACCCCATGATGCTCTCCTAACCCATAAAGACAGATTTCAAGTGAGACAGAGAGAGGGGAAGCAAGAAAGAGAAGATGGGTGGTTGGGAAATCATGGAAGGAGCATGCTTGGCCTGTTTTTGCTTGTTCAAGTGTCCAACCTCTCCCCACTCATTGTAACTCAGTTCACACAGGCTAAAGGAAGGGGGATCGGCAAAAATTACCAAGGTCTTAGACCATTTTCAGTTTTGCACAAGTTTTAAAGAGAGAGGCTCAAGGAAAAAGATGAAGTTTTGGAGAGAGAAAGTAGGGTTTTAACATTTCCTTCACCATTTTCATTGTAGTAAGCTTTAGATTACTTGTAATCCTTCCCTCTTTCACTTTAAACTCTTTTATTTAAGTTTTAATTAAGATTAGTTAAGTCTTCTAGCATTTACATTTCTACAATTGGATATTTTGTCTTCAATCTTTGTATTTTGGTTATGAATGTAATTTCGCTTGTAGTCTAAACCTTTTTTTGCATTAATATTAGTCTCATGCTGCATTTCAATTCCATGTCTCTTTACCTAATTTTGGTTTTTGCTTTTGCTCTGATTAGCTAGACTTTTAGTTGGCTAATCAACGGGGAATTTCTTCTTGGGTATGCGAAATCGATTCTCTTTTGTTCTTCCTCGTAGTTTAAAGTGTTTGGTTTGACTAGGTTGAGTATGAACGTGGTTGTGGGCTCTTGATACACTGTAGACTCATCACGGGTATGCTTTTGCCCAAAACATCCACACTAGTCTCTCACTTCCTACAAATCAATCAAATACCGAGTCACCATTGGTTGAATGAATTGAGTCGATTTGGCATTTCCATTGGATTGACCCTATGGATTAGCCAACCTTGTTTTCCCTGCATTTTTACCATAACACAACTCACCAAAACACAAAAATAAAGATTTTCTAATTTCCATTTCTTAAAAAAATCACCCTTCAAAGCAATTTGACCTTCCTTCCCTGAAAAGAAGGCATTGGAATACTCATTCTAAGTAAAACACGACATCGCAAGTCTCTCTTCATTGTGGGACCACTTTTGCAAACACACACATTTTGTTTATTCACACACGATTTTCCCCATTTCTTGCATTGAGCCCGAGGGAGAGTGATACTCACCACTTCATATAAGCCATATACACACAATCCGGTTGATGTTTGGAGATTAGGGAAAATGATAAAGCACCATGCCCCTCTCTAGTCTTGAGCCGCTGACTTGAATTGCTTGGAGGGAGGTTATCAAAAAAAGCTTCCAAATTCAGTCAAGGCATGGACCCCCTTCCTCTTCCTAACCACTCCCTCTCTCCTCATTAGCCCACCCACTCCCTCACGCTTATTTTCTGAGTGTAGAGATTAGGAGTTCATGATGGAGTGTTAAAAAGGTCAGAACACGGATTAGATATCAAAAGGTGGGCCCTCGTAGTTGGTGGAGTTATTTGGAGGAGGATCTGAATTTTCTGGGTTATTGGTTCCGGTATCTAGTGAAGAGGTACCAGTACCTTGACAGGCGGAGGGCTCAGGTACCTCTATCTAGTGAAGAGGTACCGGTACCGGTACCTGAAGCATTTTTTCTATGTTGATCATCAAGAGCACAAATGGGAGGTATCGTATCTAAGGCAAAGAGGTACCAGTACTTAAATTCCAAAAGGTTCTGGTACTGGTACCTAGTGAAGAGGTACCGGTACTTTCTTCATTTCATCCATTTCAGTAAGTTGAATTCCAAGTTCCAGGTACCAGTATCTAGTAATGAGGTACTGATACCTTCTTTCCAAAGAGCTCAGGTGCCTATACCACATAACCAGGTACCGGTGCCTACTCTACTTATTTTGAGATTTTTAACTCTTTGAGCTCCCAAGCCATTTATCTTGAATTCCTTTCTTGCTTATTGTCCATAATCACTTTATGAGGTTCTTTATGCCTACCCTTTCCATCCTATCACCTCTAATCAAATCATTCTCCATTAATCATCGATTTGAATCCAATTTCCCAAAATTCACTACAAAAACCACTTAAAATGGATGTAATGAAGTTGTTAAATGTGCATCAATTGTAACTAGTTCCCTAGGAATCCAATTACTAAGTCCAAGGGGCCACCATTCGCTTGGACTTGGTAACTCGATGCAAAAAAGGATGTTAATATTGCTACAAGGCTAACGCCTTCCAGCAAGTGAAGGGGGCAGGAATATTTATGGTGATAGCTTTACATAAGAGAGAAAGAGAAGGAAGGATAGCACAATGAAAAAAAGTGGTATTTAATTACCAAAAATAAAATTTTTTACAAGTTACAAAAAAGCTTTCTTTTGTTCTATCTTTACTCCTCCCTTGGGAGCTCAATGGTTTCAATAGTTAGGAGCTCGGTTTTCTCCTTAGCAGACATCTCAACATATTTTTCTTTTTCTCTCTCATCTGGAAAGACAGGCAAGATGGAATCAAAATCCAACTCGAAAAATAGTTTCTCAACCTGCCTTTGAAAATTCTTGAAACCATCAGCAAAGTTGTTGGCGGTCTCCCGTTTGAATAGTTCTTTCCCTTTGACGTTGAGAGCTTTGATATAGGTAGTAGATTGTAAGCAAAAAGAATGAACTTTAAGCCTAAAGAAAGAACAACAAATAAGAGAATAATTGAAGAAGTCATATTGCAGCAAGGCCATGAATCGCGTCAGTGACTTTGTAGTTAAAGGGGGTCATCACCAACCCACTTAGCTCATCATTAGGAACCACACTAAAGAGAATATACATTGCGACAATGGGCTCGCAAATGAAGGGAATCCTGTTTCCAACCCCTCCAAAAGGATTTGAGTTGGTCCTGCTCCCAGTAAAAATGGGGGAATGAGGAATAGGCACGTGATCACTAGAGGAAGGAAGAGTAGGGCTGGCCAAGTTGCCAATAGTATTCTCGGTGAGTTCTCCCCCTTCAAGGGAAGCTTAAGCTGTAGGATCCTAACTATGCTTCTAGGTTCTCTATAGATAAGCCAAGAGCAGCCCAGGATCTATTTCTAACCTTTTAGAAGGATAAAGGTCAACCTTCTTGTATAGCCTCTTTCATTTCTTATTCTCAATGGTCTTCTTGATTAGTTCCTAGTCTGGGGCCATCTCAACAGAACCTGAAGATAGAAATAAGGGCTAAAGGTGAAGACATAGAAGCAATAGCAGAATTCTAAACTAGCAATTCAGATTTAGGAACACACCAAAAGGAACTCCCTAAATAGGGGGACCAAACTATTATTTGGTTAAGTTTTTGGCAGTCACAAGCTCCTTAAAGGATCTCAAACCGTGTGCTTCCGCCTTAGATGTCTAAGTTATTTCCTTAGTAGGGAGAGGAGGTTGATACCCTGCAACAACAATTCAGGTTAGGGTAAAGATTCAAGAAATAGAAAAGAAAAATATCAAGAAAAATGGAAACCAGCACCTCATCTAAATAAGAGTTACTAGTGTTACGAGGAACATCCTAAAGATGAGAAACTTGGGAGGTGTCATCAGCATCCCTAGTCAACTCCCAGGCATCCCCAAAAATGAAGAAGAAACTCTCTTTCTAGCCCTTATGCAAAGTAGGGAGGTCAGAAATCAAAGCCTCGATCTTCACCCTCTTAGTGAAGTAAAGGAAGCCCAAAGCTAGGGAAGACTTGATATGGTATTAATAGGCAAACTCGGACAATGTGCAAGGGGTTTCAATACCACTCTCTTGCAGTAGACCAGTAAACCTACTAAGTGACACCCCATCCATTAGGGGATAACCTAGCTAAAAAAACATTGTGATGACATAGGACTTCATAAATAAAAGGATGCATCGGGAACCTAAGCCCAACCTCAAAGGCAAACCCAAAGAAACAGGTCTTCTCGGCGACATTGGTATTGCGCCTCTCCTAAGCCTCGGGAACATGAATAAATACCTCCTAGGGGAAACCATACTGTTCCATAAGATCTTGGGCCCAACTATCGGTCATGCGACTTTGAGTTGAGGCCGCAATACAGGTCAGGTCAGATAAATCTCGCGCAACCTTTTTCCTTTTTGGAGCCACCAACGAAGATGCACTTTCTTTCTTCCCCTTTTTTCCTTTTCCCCAACCAACTAGAAGACTCGATTTGAAATACCTCATCTCGACAACCTAAAGTTGAGACTTCCAAATCTAGCACAGGGGTGGAGGCATCTAAAGCTGGTTCCGAAGGGTTATCCCCAATTTCAGCCAGCACCAAAGGAAATTTCTCTTCTTGGACCTCCTCGGTAGAAAGATCTTCATCCTTATGGGAAAGTTGGGATCCTTCCTTCTCAGAACCATCCCTTAGTGTCTGGGAATTCGAAAGCGTCGATTCAAAATAGGTATCAAATACAACTCTCACCATGGGAACCCCCTCACCTCAAGTAGCGATATATGCCAGGTAGGTGAGAGTGACAATCTACAATTGCTATAAGATCGAAGCTCCAAAACCTCACCAAAGACAACCTAAACTGTAATGGAAGGTCGACGAAGAAAGATAAAGGCGCAAAAGAACCTAAAATAGCAAAACCTAAGAACCACAAATCGAAAACCTATAGACTACCACTAAGGGTTAATTCAGTCCATAATGGAATAAGGAAGAAGAGACATACCTAAAGAGCACGCAGATTGGATAGGAAGTCAATAGAACACGAGTGGCACAACACCGAAAGCTCTTGAGACTACTCTTCACATTTAACGAAAAGACTGAGTACCTCTCTGAGAAGTCAATAAGTTCAAATACCTTTAGAGTTTTGATGGTTCAATTCCATCACGCACAATAAATGTGTCAGGCATGTACTTAAAAGGCATCCAAGTCGCATTGTCGATGAAACCCATGTACATGCACAAGATGGAAATATCCTGAAAATTAAGGCAGCATGTACACTGCCCCCGTTGCTTGAGCCGCACCTCCTCAACCATGTAATCACATCATGTCCAACCTAAGCTTTGAAAAATACCTCATAGCCAAAGGAGCAGGCTTTGCCTCAAATATGATTTACCTCCAAATTAAGGCCAAAGTTGGTACTATTCGAGCTCGAGCTGGAGGCAACTGATGATACCATATTCATCAAATTGATCCTTACTTATCACCACTCAATCTTGAATAGCACAACTTCAAAGACTAAGGATGGGATGACAAGCAAGACACAAGACCTTACCCCTATCATATAAGAAGGTCGGCTCCATCTGCTGCAGCCTGAGCATAAACAACTTCCAAGCTAACGTCCTAACCTTTAAACAAGCCCTTTTAGCAGAGAAATGTGCACAGACCACCAAGCTTCATCCCAACAGCTCATACAGAGAATTCCGGAGCTCAACCCTCCTTGGGTGACATCATCCTATTTCTAGAAGGCCATGACATGTCACATCTAGGGAATGTAGCATCTAAAGGTCCAATATTCTCTCAAAGAAATCCTAACAAACGTGGAGACCATGTGACAATGACATAGGGACCACCCCACCTACAGGTATATAACAACAAGGCCTACTCCATGTGAAGGCATCGAATATATTGTAACCTATCTTCTCCCCCCAAGTAATTGGAAAACCCCAAGAAGCGAGACTCCATTAGAGTAGATTAACCAAGCTCTTCAGCTGATGTACTACTACAATCTGCATGTTCTTTCTCCTACCTAGCACACACTTTCATACTTTTATCATTGCACACAAGCCTTAAGCTCTTTAGCTTAAGCACTACTATTTCACGCTTTAAGAATCATCATGCTTTGAGTTTACACATCATAAACAACTAAGAATCTAAAATAGTTCACGTGTAACACACTTATAATCATTTAGTTACAAAAAAAGGGCATACAAAAATTCTTGTTTAGATTCAGTTCCTTGTTATTGGTCATTTAAACTTGGAGGATGAGTGAATTATTTTGACATGGTTTTTCGAGGCGCATTTGGGAAGGTAAATAGAAATTTAAGGGACAAAGTGCTTGTAACTGTCAGGATCACTGCACAAATTCTATATGAATAATCATTGATTGCCCTATCTTTTTATTCAATCAACAGCCTTTATTTATTTAATCTTAGAAAAATAACTAAGATTATTCCTAATTATACATTTTATAGAGCAGAAGGCTGAAAGTTACAAAGACACACAACAACAGTAAGAGTTTCATGCCCATCTTACTACGAAAGGCTGCCCATGGTATTGGCCCTCTTCCTTAGAACATGTTTCTGTATCTTGCCAGTTGAATTGACAGGCAAATCCCCAAAAACAACAGTCCGAGGAGCCATATAATGTGGCAAATGATCTGCACAAAATTTAATAATCTCCTCTGAAGTCACTCCAAACCCCTCTTTCAACTTCACAATAGCACAAGGTGTCTCACCCAAAAGGTCATCAGGTTTCCCAACAACAGCAGCTTCCATAACCAAAGGATGACTAAGTAACACAGCTTCCACCTCAAGTGTGCTTATACTTTCTTCCCCAGATATGATCATATCCACAGCGCGGTCCTTCATTTGTATGTAACCATCCGAGTGTCTGACTCCAAGGTCCCCGGTCCTATACCAACCACCGTTGAAGGCTTTTTCAGTCCCTTCCTTATTTTTTATGTATCCCGACATCATAATATTACCCCTGAACATCACCTCTCCGATGGTTTTTCCGTCAGGGGGCACACTTGTCATGGTATCTGGATCTTTTACATCAACTCCTTCCATAAGTAGATTTTGAATCCTTTCACGGTATTTTATCTTTGTAAGTTCTTCTGACCCAAAAACTTCGGGGACAGAGTTCTGTTGAGTTTTTTCTAGTAGAGTATGTTCTTCCAGAGGAGAACAATTGGCTTCAGGTTTCCACAATCTAGAGGAGATCACTGGACCAAGGGCTTCGGTCATTCCATATGCGTAATTGACATTGAATCCCAATTCCTCGACTTTGTTTAGAACATGAGGTGGTGGCCATGCACCAGAAATTTTGATCTCCACTCGGCAAGGAAGTGGTTGCTGATCAGTGACTGGTGCATCTGCAATCTGGTTTAAGATGGTGGGCTTTCCACATAAATGTGTAACTTTGTGAAGAGATATGGCATCGAAAATTGCTTTTGCTGAGACATCTCTAAGACAGATACTGGTGCCACCAAGAGCAGCCAATGCCCAAGTGAAGCACCACCCATTGCAGCGGAACATGTCCACTGTCCAGAGGAACACCGGCATTCGTCTCATTTCATCAGAAAAAATTGCAGCCAATGAATTGAGATAGGCAGCTCTGTGGCTATACACTACCCCTTTAGGCTTCCCTGTAGAACCAGATGTGTAACAAACTGATATTGGATCACATTCGTCTTCGGGACGAATAATCTGAAAATCAACTTGCCCCATTTCAAGAAGCCCTTTGTAATCCAGATTACGCAGCTGGGGCTCTTTTTCAATTGAAGATGTTGCTTGATTGCTTTCAAAGATCAAGATTAAACCTGGTGGGTTGATATTCGATTGGGAGAGAAGCTGAAATGCTTCAAGAGCAACTGAAACAAATTGATTGTCTACAAAAATGATTTTGGCTTCCAACTGCTTTAGAATCAATGCTAACATGGCTTTGTCGAGTCTAGTGTTGAGTGGAGAAAGTACTGCCCCGACCATTGGAATGCCAAAATGTAACTCATAGAGTGCTGGAATGTTTGGTGCCAACGCTGCAACCTGCTCAAATAACAAAATGAGGGTCTCAACCATAGTAACAAATTGGTAATGCTGATACATTGTGGGGGAACGTAATGCCATATTGACTTGCTCAGGAGAAAGAATGTTTGGCCAATCTATACATATTCCAACAGATTGTTAATGGAATAGAGAACAGTTCCATAGTTGAGTATAAGGGCTAAAATAAGAAATGGTTGCACTCCTCTTTTCTATTTGGTAATTGGCATCCTTGGAGGCCTCTAGTCGAAGGGTGGCGTATGTCATAAATATGTTAGCATTCAATATTGTACCTCATTCTTTCTCCAACAAAAGTAACACGTGTAAATTTTTATTATTTCATTATTTAATATTATTTTTACAATCAATGCATTGTTGCAAATAAATTCAATCAAGAACTACAGATAGAAATCGATATTAGTATGAGAATGACACCCAATAATTATTTTTGGCACTATAGCCTTATCAATCGAGAAGATATGGATTGAATGCCCTCTCCAGTTTATGGTTAAACCATTAGAAACTACAGGAGATCGGATTTGGTGGATACCAATGTAAATGGGATTTACGTAACGAAGTCTGCTTTGAAAGCAATCGGATTCTGCTTACCAGGTAGAGTATAAAAGAGAGTTTGATCCTCTGAGGCTATTCACAACGTCTTTTCTTTTCTTTTTGTTTTCCTTTTTTGAATTCAAGGGCTGTGAATTATTGGGCAGTTCAACTGGACGTCGAATCCCAAACAAACAGCTATTGCCTACGGGCAATAGCTTACCCCACCGTTGGAGACGCTCACGTGAGCTGCAACAGAAAGTCTAAAAGTAAAGGGAAAGTCAATTTTACATAAGCTTAGAAAAGTTTCCTTAGAGAAAGTCGGACAGTATATTTAACCCTTTAAGGTCACGTCTGGATGGTGGCATGTGGTGCTACTGGTTGCATTTGTCTGCTCCTTCAAAATCCAAGCTGTTGGAATGCTAACATGGGATTCATGGTGTTCACCATCTCAATCCATGTTTAGTTAGCAAATATAGGCACATGTGAATCAAACACAACCAAAAACTCTTTAGTTTTATGCAATTGACTATAATGTCCCTGGTCTTATCAAGTTCCAAGTTAATTTGAGGATAGTAAAGTCCTTTTATCCATATATCCAGGCCGCCCAACTTAGAAACCCACCTCCCGTAGAGATTTTGTTTTGGGCTGGTACACCTCTCGAGTTTAATCAGCGCCCACATACGTGCGTTTGCAAAAAATTATCTTTCGTTTGTTAGGATAGAAAAATAGAAGGATAAAAAATTAAACGGATAAAAAATTTAAGAGATAGATAAAATATCATATTTGGTAAGAAAATGACAATAGAGACGACGTAAAAATTGATAGATTCACTTTTCTTTCAACTTATTAAAATCAATCCCTCTAAAATTGAGAAAAAAAAATGAATAAAAAGTTAATTATGTGTTATAAAATATATGTTATTTGTTTATATATATATATATATATATATATATATATATATATATATATATATATAAACAAATAACATATATTTTATAACACATAATTAACTTTTTATTCATTTTTTTTTCTCAATTTTAGAGGGATTGATTTTAATAAGTTGAAAGAAAAGTGAATCTATCAATTTTTACGTCGTCTCTATTGTCATTTTCTTACCAAATATGATATTTTATCTATCTCTTAAATTTTTTATCCGTTTAATTTTTTATCCTTCTATTTTTCTATCCTAACAAACGAAAGATAATTTTTTGCAAACGCACGTATGTGGGCGCTGATTAAACTCGAGAGGTGTACCAGCCCAAAACAAAATCTCTACGGGAGGTGGGTTTCTAAGTTGGGCGGCCTGGATATATGGATAAAAGGACTTTACTATCCTCAAATTAACTTGGAACTTGATAAGACCAGGGACATTATAGTCAATTGCATAAAACTAAAGAGTTTTTGGTTGTGTTTGATTCACATGTGCCTATATTTGCTAACTAAACATGGATTGAGATGGTGAACACCATGAATCCCATGTTAGCATTCCAACAGCTTGGATTTTGAAGGAGCAGACAAATGCAACCAGTAGCACCACATGCCACCATCCAGACGTGACCTTAAAGGGTTAAATATACTGTCCGACTTTCTCTAAGGAAACTTTTCTAAGCTTATGTAAAATTGACTTTCCCTTTACTTTTAGACTTTCTGTTGCAGCTCACGTGAGCGTCTCCAACGGTGGGGTAAGCTATTGCCCGTAGGCAATAGCTGTTTGTTTGGGATTCGACGTCCAGTTGAACTGCCCAATAATTCACAGCCCTTGAATTCAAAAAAGGAAAACAAAAAGAAAAGAAAAGACGTTGTGAATAGCCTCAGAGGATCAAACTCTCTTTTATACTCTACCTGGTAAGCAGAATCCGATTGCTTTCAAAGCAGACTTCGTTACGTAAATCCCATTTACATTGGTATCCACCAAATCCGATCTCCTGTAGTTTCTAATGGTTTAACCATAAACTGGAGAGGGCATTCAATCCATATCTTCTCGATTGATAAGGCTATAGTGCCAAAAATAATTATTGGGTGTCATTCTCATACTAATATCGATTTCTATCTGTAGTTCTTGANAAAAAAAAAAAAAAAAATCAATCATTCCTATCTTCCATCTTTCTTACCAAACACAAAAGAGTGAATGGAGGTTTCCTCCCTTGAAGAATAAAAAATATTTCACTTACTTTCTATTCTTCCATTTTTATATCAATCCTACCAAACAAACAATTAAGGATTGGCCTACAAAGCCAACAATATTTATCCCACTTTAAAAATAACTATCCAATTAAAAGAATTGTGGGCCCATCCCATTAAAAACCAAATCTCACTTTCTTGCATTCCATTGTCCCTCAAACCAATCATGCCCTTATGAATGTTCATGGTTGGAAAAAGGATTTGACTAACAGATTTTGGGTTGATAGCTGATGCTATTTTGTTGAGTACGCCTCTTTTATATGTTTTTTTTTTCAGCCGTAGGAAACTGGGATATACGGGGAAGGAGAAATACAGCTAAAGAACAAGAGGTCAGTAACTGGTGACAAAAACTAAAAAATCAGGGAAAATATTATTTGTATATAATTTGTTCTAATGCATCATAGTTATTAAATTAATAACGAATCCCAATTAATAATGAAACATATTGTCAATCTAATGGGAGAAAGCAACAAGACTAATTTATTCTAATAACAATATCAAAACTTTCCATAGATTCAAGAAGAACCATTCTATTCTATCCATTGATTAAGAGGAGTGTTACAATACCTGAAATATATATTTTGGTACCATACCTTAATTTTTTGATCACTAAAAATGCAGCACGTCTACACCTTTTTTATACTAATAATTTTTGTATTACTTTATTATCATTTCAACAACGGTTATGCATTATTCAAATCAAAATTAATAGTTTGAACCATTTTTTTGGGAGAAGTCTACAGTACCATAAAAAAATAGTATCACACCACTATTATAACTTTTGTGAGTGTTTTTACAACTATGTGATAACTTTGCAATGAATTTTAAAGTGGTAAAATCACTTATAAAAATTGTAAATTTTTTTTGTTGCAAAGAACCACAAAAGTTGTAAAAATTGGAGGTACGATATCAAATTTTTCTTTGAGACCATTACCTTCTCCAATTTTAATACCCTAGGTCAACGGAACTCTGCGTTACTCAAAAAAAAAAAAAATTTGATATTGTACCATCATTACAACTTTTGTATGTATTTTTATAATTTTTTTGGGTATTTTTATCACTTTTGTGATAAATTGTGATTGATCCTAAAACTATAGTAGACTCACAAAAATTGTAAAATCATCCATAAAAATTATACATTTTTTGTTGTAAAAATATTCACAAAAATTATAAAACACCCCATAAAAGTTATAAAAATTAGAGCTGCAATATCGATTTTTTTTTTTTGGGCACGGTGTTCTTCTCCATTTTTTTTTTTGACACAATAACTCTGCGGTTTAACATAAAAGATAAAAGTCCGACGAATGAGAAAGAAAAGTATATCCAAAGTAAAAATACATAGACAAGACAACAAAGTACATCCAAGATGGAAAAGTACACCCAAGACGGAGAAAAAAACCAAGATAGTAATACACGGGGTTAATGACTTGTCTGTTAAATCGTAAATAATAATATTAGACAGTCTTTCTATATAAAGTGCAATAATAATTCAGATTATTTAAATTCAACGAATTATATTATGTTTTATATTTTAATTTTTTAATTATAATAATTCATTTAAATTTTAATCTTTTAACTATAATAACTCATTAACTACAGTAGCTAATTTTAATTTTAATTTTAATTTTTTAATTATAATAACTAAACTCATGTATTAAAAACAATTGTGTTTTGCACATGAACACCCTAGTAGTCATTAAATTTGATCTACAAACTAATATGAATGATTGGATCAAGCTTACTCAAAAAATTCATTGAGACCCACAGATCAACAATCCCTACAAATTAAATTTGATAAATCATTCGATAAATATAGTGTTGTAGTGTAAAATAATTTTTTTTTAGGTACCATAATTGTATCCTAGGAATGTATTATTCCTACAAACAACTCGATGACTAAATAAATGAAACAAGACAATTGCCCCCAAAAAAAAAAAAATTAAAGAAAACAAAACAAATAAGACGTTTGTGACGGTCACGTAAGCCGTTTTTTCCTCCACTTTCATGTATGCGTGTTTGACCTTAATGTCCGTGAAATTTCCATGGTGTGGCCATTTCTTCAATTATTCTTTTTTAATAATATAGGTTTATCAGACCATTTATCTGGAACATGGACTTTTATTTGTGGCACAAGTGTATTGGACATCATCAGAATAATCTTTTGAAAGATGGTATTTTTTGGTTGAGATTCTTGAGAATATAGGATATGCTGGGATTTGTTTCTATTTGTTGATTGGTCATTGATACCATGTCTTTTGTATAGCTTGTTGTCCTAGCAATCGAAGCCCCCAAATTGTTCAATGCTTATTTATTTTGTCTAATATTAGTTAAAAGAGGATCATTTGGAAAGACGAAGAGAAACAAGAGATTCAATACATACCTTACCTGGGAAGATGAGAGAAGAGAGGAAATCACTAGATAAGTTTGGCGCTAAGGAAATCATGGTTGGCATTTGAGGATAGGAAATAAAAAAAGTGTGTCATGTCGATTCTGTAATCACAAACACATCGCAATAATTATAATATGTACGATGGCTAGAAAGTATAATTACTTTTGAGATGTGATTTTATGCGATGAAAAATATTTGTCTCTATTATACCTGTTTTATGATAGTTTTGGTTCATTTTGTCCCTCCTTTCCCCAATACATTTAAGCTACGTTTAGTAAAGTTTTTATTTTTACGTTTATATTATAAAAAATCAAAACTAATTTTTATTTTGTTTTGATAAAAAATTAAAAATATAAATCATTTATATTTAAAAAATTATAAAAAAAAATTAAAAAATATATTTGATATTATATCAAAAATTTACCACCGAACACCACCACCTAACACCAACAAACAACCTGCCACCACCAAACTCCCACCACCGAAACCCACCCCCACAACTTTTCCCCTGAAATTCACCACCACCCAACCCCCACCACCTCCACCAAAACCCACCCCCTGTAACCCCGAAGCCCACAACCCCCTCGGAAGATAGAAGCCATCCAAGGACTAATGAGATTTACTCAAAGGCTGACGAAGTTCTGATATTGATCAAGGAAGCTGGGTATGTTCCAGACATGAATTTTGCACTCCATGATATCAATGAAGAGGGCAAGGAACTCGGACTTGCCTATCACAGTGAGAAGTTGGCTGTTGCTTTTGGGCTTCTCGTTGTGCCACAAGCAGCGCCTATTCGTATTTATAAGAACCTCAATATACACCACCACCCAACCCCACCACCCCCACAAGACCACAACCTCCTGCAACCCCGAAACCCACCCCCATCTCCAAAACCCACCACCACCGAAACCCAACACCAAAACCAAGCAAATCCTACCACCCGGCCATCCAACACCAAACCAAGCAAAACCCACCACCATCAGCCATTCAACCACCCCCAAAGAAGATGAGAGAGAATTTGAGTTTTCGCAGTGAAGACGAGAGAAAGATGAGAGGCAGCTCTTCGAAGAGAGAGAGAGAGAAAAGCTAGGTGAGAGCAGTAGGTAGAAGTGAGACCTTTTTATACTTCCAACAAAAGTGTTAAATTTTGGTGTTAATAAGATTCGAAGATAAGACTTCGTCAAGGGGTCACCACTGCCCACGTTTGTTTTTTTTAATTTTTTTTTTGATGTTTTCAAAAATATCTTTTTTTTATGCTTCGGGCTTTGTTTTCAAAACGGAAGAGTAAATAAAAAACAGAAATACTTCCCAAACTCGTTATTAATTTTTTTTTTAGCAAAAAAAGAAAACAAAAACAAAAAAAAAATCACAAGCATCATGTTACCAAACACAACCTTAATCTTTCAATCTAAACACCAAAAAAAAAAAACCATGGCAAAAAACACACCTCCGGTGGTAAATAACAGTTACTCTAAAACCTTTGTTTAACCTAATTTTGTAATCATTTGCATTTCAATTTACAAAAATATTATTTAGACTTAATTTGTCTATATAATTTTTTAACCTAATCTATAATAACCCTGGGATATGTTATGTTTCCTAAGAAATACTAGGATTTATTGTTAAATCAATAGTTATAAATGATTAGTTCATAATCACTTCAATTTTGTTCATAAATTGAAGAGCAAATGCTTCTCAATTTATGAACAAAATTTCATGACCCACAAAATCACTGGACTCCTATTATAGGAATCTATATGGAATCAAGTCAAGTGCTACTTAAAACGGAAGAAAATACTTTGTCTTCAAAGCAGTATCAAAGAACAGTCTGAAAAAAAATACTTTGTCTTCAAAGCAGTATCAAAGAACAGTCTGAAAAACTTACAACATCACCACGGTTGATCCCCAGCTGCGATAGAGCAGACGCGAGCTTAATACATCTTTCATGAGTCTCTCTCCATGTATATCTTGTGCTGCCATAAACAATGGACTCCTTACCTCCATACACAAACGCTGCTCGCTCCAGGAAGCTTAAAGGAGACAAGGGTACGTAATTGGCCGAGCATTGAATCGTACCTTCCATTAGTTTTCTCTGATCGAAGTTTTTCTGCAAAAAATGCAGTAAGATATGGAATTTATAACAGCGTTCGGGTTTAAATCTGGGTATCTGAGTCAGACCATATACTAAATATAAAAAGAAAAGTATTCCCAAGTGTTCCGTGAGAATTCAGATAAGGACGTCACTTTGCTGATTGTGGGCGGGTTTCATCAGCAATCTCTGCAGTCATCAAGCAATGATCTGGTGGAACCCGACTAAAAAAGCTCTGCTATATATATATACACTAACAATATTCTGTGATTAAAGTGATTGAATATTAAATTATGATACTATATATATATTGGAGTGTATATACAGCTGAAATTTTTATATAATGTGTGTGTAGTAAGTGTGTATTGAAGTATGTATAATTATGTGTTGTAGAATATTTATATTGAATTTGTAAAATTTGAAAAAGAAAGTGTGTGATAGGTGTGTGAAATTTGAAAGAAAAAATATATCTCATAAATTCAAATAACTAACTATCTTCTTATTATATAGATATATATATATATATATAAGCCCACCTGACCTCAAGCATCAAAATGGTGTATGAATCTTGGCGTATTACACCCTGTTACGATTGCGTGTTTGCCTAAAAAATTTGACCTCTACGACGAGAGTACATAAGATTGTAGGTATGTATGCTGTCATTAGCAGGTCATTATTTCTTTTCAAAAAAACAACAGGTCATTATTTAATTAAAGTCGTAATCTTGCACGTCTCGTCATCTTCCATCTCCAGCTGTTTCATCTATGTAAGCACAGTTCACATGAAATGAATGGTGCACTATTTTTTTTTTTTTAGCAATGTAATGTGATATAAATTTACGTCTCAAACGAAGGAGAAGGAGATCATTGAATTAATCTGTCTGATTTAAAAAAATTGATGGGACTCATTCATTTAATAGTCCCCTTCATTTAAGATGAAAATTTAAGTTACAAATTTGGGTTACATAATTTTTTTTTTATGAGTAATGCAATACGTTCTTTATTTAGGGACTTAATATGAGGATTTAATGATGTAATTTTAATGCAATTATTGAATTAATTGTGATTTCTAGATAGAGTCCAAAACCAATATAATATTTATATATCATTAAATCCTTAAATTAGGTCTAAATAACAATTTTGTTTTTAATAACGGTGAGAACATCATATTTGTACAATAACTTCCTTACATCAATTGATGTGGCATAATCAAAATTATTAAATATTTAATAAATTTTATAAAACTTACTAATCTAACAGCCTATGTTAATATAGTGCGTAAAGATAGTGTAATATGGTGGTGTGTGTAGCATTATTTTTATTTAATTATTTTTTTTTGGGAAGGTATGAATGGTGCATTATTGAATATAAAAAAACTGGAAGCTTCTCTTCTGACTTTGAAAAAGCTAGTTTGTTAATACCGCTTTCTCTCTCTAGTAAAATATATAATAATGAAAATTTTAGTCACAATCTTTCTAATTTATCATATATTTAATGACACTCTTTCTATTATCAAAAACATCACTGACACCTCTTCTAATTTATATTTAAAAATATCTGACACCTCTTATATTCTAGTTAAAGTTTTTAATCTGATAGGGAATGTCAATGAAGATTCAGAAAATAAAAGAAATATTCTTAAAAATATGATAAACAAGAAGGCATGTAACTGAAATTTTTCCTATATATTATAATGCTTATGCTATAATAGCCCCGTGTCAATAAAAAATATTACGCAATACCAATTGATCCCAAAATATTTCTGTATTTTAAATAGTAATTAATTTTTAATTATGTAATTTAAAATTAAAATGAACATGTAGAAAATAAGAGAGTTAAGTGATAGAAAAGAGGGAGGTATGTTGGGATTAGTGGATTGTTGGACATTGAAAACTTTGTTGATTAAGTTATTAGACATTAAGGCATGTATAGAGAAAATCAAGTTTTTGAGCATAAAAAATTTACTTTTAGCTGAATTTTGCACCATTGAAGCCTAGCAGATAAAAAAAGGATGTTGAGAATTAACTTGTTAGCTGGAATTAGAGATGGCAAATGGGTGGATTAAGTTAGTTATGAGTTGGATTAAATTAGGCTGGGTTTAAAATAAATCAAATTTATTTTTCACTTAAATAATAAATGGGTGATAATGGATTGTGTTATAATAGGTTGGGTTAAATTCATTAACCCATAAATTATACACACACACAATTACACAAAAATAAACACACACACTACTACATCAAAATACATACATACACATACACTATTACACCAAAATATACGCATACACTACTACACCAAAATACACACACACTATTACACCAAAATACACACATTATTACACCAAAATACAGGCATACACGCACATACATATTATTACACCAAAATAAACACACACACTAATCAACAAAAAATATACACACAGTGTTGCACACACAATCTTGATACAATGTGACATACAAACACTTGCACATTGACAAAATAAAAACTAAAACACAATTACTGTTCCATCGCATAGCATATTTCATACTAATAAGTCACATCAATCCTTCATCATAATAAGAAATAAATCCAGAAAAAGATAAACATAACCATAACACCATGTCTCCTTATCATTTAATACTCACAAGTTGGGTCAAGCAAATGGAACACATGCTCAACCAAACATTAGGACAAGTTTAAAAAGAATATTACGAAATCTACTATAAGACATGTTATTCATTGTCAAATATTGTGTCAAACTCCACTTCCTTCTTTGATGAGCGTTCTTCATCCTAAACCAAAACAAAAAAAAATTGAATATGCTATAAGTCCCAAAAGCAAAAACTAAATGAAAAGTTGAACCAAGTTCACAATAATCACAAAAAAAAATCTTACATATCCATTTTCAGCATCATTATTAGATTACACACCAACTTCTCAAGATTCATTCCACATCATTTGAAGAGCCACCACTGAACCTCGTTCTTTATGTGGATTTCCATGAGTTGTCTATAATGACGAATGTGGATAGTCAAATCAATGTTCCCATCATAAATTTTAAAGTTGGGAACTGTAAATTTTCTTTGAACTATTTCCCTCTCTCTATCTATTTACTGAAGAGAGATATTTCCATTCCCCTAATGTATTCTCTGGTTGCCTTTCTTGCGAGCTCTCTAGCAGAATTTTGTTCAGGGCATTTTAGTCTACTGTTGACCTCTTTAGTTATGAACCTCTTCCAGACATCCTCTCACTCTGTGAATTGAGCAAATTTCTTTCTCTCGTTTCTATCTCGAGGGTCTTCCCTTCACCCTCCTCTACATCTTATCAGGCTAGGGCTAGGCTAGGCACATATAGTCTTTTGATTCATTTTAGTACGATGCTCTAGTACCTCATAAGTTTCTCAATCCCTGGATTCTCTCAGGACCGCCTTTAGCATATTGTTATCTTGCTTAGTTCTCTTAGGGCTTTCTCAACATGTCATTGTAAGCATCTAGTCGGTCTTGGAACAATTGGATCAACTTCATAAACGCTAAGATTTCCCCATCGACACGTGGGGATCTCTCTTGATATTCTTTGTTCTTCGGGGTCTCCTTTTGAGGGTAGTATCTTCCTAATAACACATTGTTAGGATCTGTATGATTCTCATCCGAATTTGCTGCCACGTCCACACGGATATCACAATCAGAGGGGAATGATAACTATTGGTACTGCAAAACAAATAAACTAGTAGAGACCAGGGGTAGGCTAGTTGGAGGCACCCGATGCCTAATTCAATGTTGGCTTTGAAAGAAAACAAAGTAATTTGTAGGGATTTTTGTGTGTACCTTTGACTTACAGACAACCTGATTTTTGTAAGACTATATGCCAAGGTCTTTTCGACAATTTTAGCCTTTGGGCATATTAGGTGGCACAATTAATGTTTTTAACCGGATCCTGTTGGGGGCTAAGTTCTCTCTTTTGAATCTCCTCCTTATTTGTTGATATGCCAAACATTTTCCTATTGTTGAGGCAATGTTTCTCTCAATTTAACCTCGACTAACTCTCTTGTTTGTTGAAGGATCTCCATAACGAGTTATTGACGTGTTGTGTTGTCAATTTGGCCATTACGATAGCTCAGCCTTTAAATCGAGCACTAGTCGTCTACTTGATTTGATTGTAATGAATGATATTTTTCTTGCACGTGCTCTTGGTCACGTGTTTCAAGGCATGCGAGTGTTCATTAGTTTTTTCAATCACATGCAATTGTATTGTGTCCTTTCAATTTTATTTTTCTTTTGGTTATGTCTATTATTTTGGGAACATATGTGTGTGCTACAAGACCGAAATCAAAAGGGGATAAAATAAAATTAATCCTATAGCATTTATTTAACTGACTTACTTTTTACGGCAGCACAATGCGGTCTCAAATAGTATGTTTTTTTTAGTGCGCTAATAGAATAATCAATTATATGAAGCATAACCCACTGTGAATTATTTGTCAAAATACAAAACTAGGAAACCCCACCGAGCATGAAAGATGATTCTGGAGGTGTACTACAGAATATATTTTACGTAGATATTAGTTTCGGCTTTGAACGGGTCATTTATATTAGTTGATTCAGCGTAATGCCGTAAAGTATACGACTATGTGCGCACGATTGCTCCACCATCCGACTTTGTGATATCACAGGAACAAAAGTGTCCTCACAATGTGACAAATGATCTGATATATCACTCTCAATGATTATTCAAATCAAATTTGCATTATACATATGCTCACACCTCTCGGCTACCCAACACTTATACACTTATACTCTGTTTGGTACGAAAGATGAAAAATAAGAGCAATAAAAAATAAGAGGGATACATTTTCTATTCTTCAAGGAAGGAAAGTAGGAATGATAAATTTTCCTTTCTTTGTGTTTGGTTAAGATTAGGGTGACAATTGAATCTTGTCGTGTCGTGTCAAGTTCGTGTCGAATCATTGTGGGTTTGTGTCGAATATTAGTCAAACCTAACTTAACTCATTTAACT